GGGGTGCTAATCCGCAAACTAAGGTGATTTTTATTACTTGAAGGTGATTTCTCGGGGGCCACCCCCGCGCACTCCCCCTAGATACACCATTGTTCACACACTCACGATTTTTGTTTGAGTACGACTCTTCAAATTTTGAAAATCGCAGTGGGTTGTAAATTATGTTTCGTGGTCAATCGTACCGGTAATTCACCGTACCGTAGCGCATTGTAGGCCTACTGGTTCATGATGCCCTCGTGATGGAGCACAATTTGTTTTTGAAATGCTAAAAAAAAACAAAAAACGTGCTCAATAGTAGCTGTGCTTGCTGAAGCAGCATCGTGTGAGCCTTCGTAACGTTGTCGTCGTTGTCTTGACGGCGCTTGTGCATTCGTAGTGGCCACATCTAGAGCAGTAGCTTGCATATATTGCATATAAGTTTTCGAACACTGTGAATTATCAACAACTATGGCGACAACGCGAAAATTCAAATATTCGTAAATTGCGCCTTTTTGTATTATTATTTAATCAAACGTCTTGGTAAATCGTATAGAGGTTTTGCTTTCGTCTTTGTAAAATCGTAGTGACATCGTAATACAATATTGGTAATTCGTAGTAGGCCTACGTCGTGACAAATCTTAACGTTGTCGTAACTCTACTTTATCGTTATAATTCGTAACAATGTCGTCGCATCGCATTACTGCCCTAATACATATTACGGCGTCCTGATAGCGCAAAATTCGATTGATTTGTGAGTACACAAATCCCTCAGGTTAGAGCACGATTTTATAACTTTTAAAAATCGTGCTGTCGAATCAAAAATCTTGAATGTGTGAAATTGGCATTAGTGAGGTAGAGTGCTCCCGCCGCGTTGCGTGTTCGATTCATAGAGAAGGGGTGAGGGAGCAGGGTCGTACGCCTTCACTAAAATATCAAACTGTCATTAAATAGCCTAATCGGTATAAAATGAAGTTACGTGAACAAAAACATAGGCCTAGTTAAAATTTTAGACGAATTAAAATTATAAATCACTTAGGCCTACTTAACCTTAGAAGATAACAATAATATTTGTAAACAGGGGTGGCGCCAGCAGGGGTGGGGGGCAGTCCCCCCTGTCGGGGAGAGCAGGCCCCCGTCGGGGAGAAAAAAATATTATATGTATTTTTTATATATTAGTACACACTAAAATCGATTAAATAAGCCTTTGAAATCTCCTAAATTGTCGAAATTTTCGGGGGCTTCGCCCCCAGGACCACATTCGGAGCCTTTTAATCGAAGTTCGAACACGCTCGCACCCCCGTTGGGGACCTCGACCTCGAGTACGGTACTTAGAATTTCTAAGTTGTCGAACCTTCTCACTTTTACGAAACAGCGCCATCAAGATTGGAAAGAAGACTGATTTGTTTTTGTTTAGTTAAGCTGAACTGCGCGAAAGGGGATTTTGTGGTGAGATTAAAACAATTTACTAAGCACGGACTTCTAACTAGGCCCAGGATTTGGTAGGCTTACTGTAGGCCTACAACTTTAAACAAGGTAAAATGGCCTCTGATAGATCATACCGACAGCTGAGAAATATCCAAGATGACGACTTTTCAGATGAAGAGAATAATGCATTTGCACCCTTGGCAGGCCAGCACCAATCTGGTAGTAAGTATCAAGACCGAGACCAACGGGCTACGGTGCAAACTCACGGCGGTAGATCTTGTGGAAGAGGTAGAGCAACCTGTATTGTGCTTGTGGTTTTGACACTTGTCCTGTGCATTGCCGTAGTTTCTAGTATGGCTCGGCCTCGGTGTTCTAGGGAAGCTGAAACAACAGTACCGTTACATACATCTAGGCCTAGTAATAGCCCGCCTTCTGCGACAACACCTACGCCTACCAGATCCCCTTATGTATGGAACAATATACGATTGCCCACCAACGTTAAACCAATATCATATGATATATTTTTACATCCAAATCTTACAACTGATTCAGTGGAAGGCAACGTTGAGATCCTAGCAGAGGTAGTGAATGCAACATCCTTCATTGTCCTACATGTAAAAAATATGACAATCACAGATGTCAATGTGAAAAAATCTGGAGAAAAAATAGAATACAAAGAGCATCAGAATAACATTGCTCTTGAGCAGTTTGACATTGTTTTCCAAAATGACATAGAAGAAGGTGTTGTTATGATAATGCTCAACTTTACATATGGATTGAGGAATGGCTTGCAGGGTTTCTATCGAAGTACATATGAGACAGAAGAGGGTGTTAATAAGTAAGATTGTCATTTTGAAATTTACAGTAATTAATTGAAGTGGGTGGCCATGTACTGTAAAGTATTGCTCGGAGGGTACCTCAAAAACTAGCTGAAATTTGCACGGCAAATCACTAGGAAAGTAGATGCGCAGAATCATAAATACTGCATTAAATACATTGGTTATATCATGGAGATATTATTGAGAAGATCACTCGGCAACAGATCCCTAGATTGACGCGAGAAACCAATGTGTGTTCCCCGCCTTTGGATTGCGCGCAGTTTTTTGAATTTTGAATTTTTTCAGACTTTTAGTATGTTATTATATGTATACTGTAAAACCTTTAATTGAAGCCCTTTTTTGTTTGCGAAGGGCTTCTTTTTGAGAATACGTTTCCGAAGTAAAGTGGGGGGGGGGCTTCATTTTAAAATGAATGCTGTAAATTTTGGGAATCTGTACTATAAAACAATAAATAAGGCCACTGTAACATCAATCTGTATCATGGAGTGTATTCACCGGCATTAAATCTAAAGAGGAGGCTTCAATTCGAGATGGGCTTCTTCTCGAGGTTCTTCAATTTGAGGTTTTACGGTATTGAGAAACAGATTTTGCAACTTATGTTGCAATAGTTCGAAACCCTTTTTTGTAGAAAATATTAATATATTTGGTATTTCTTAAAAGATAAATGTATTAGCTTCAAGGTGAAAATGTTTGAAGGAAAAAAAATCATGCTCAAGTTGTTCACCTTACAGTATTTTGCGAGTTAATCATCAAGCTCCACTTCACCTTTGCACTCCCCCATCAGCCCCCTCCCTTTCCCCTTCAAGACTCCTAGATACGCCACTGCTTGTGCTCGGCATATGATTCTGGCCCAGACTTCTTTTGCCCTTGTCCAATGCAACACCAGTCCGCTGACCATCAGTGGCACCGTGAGTAGATTGTTGTTAAAATGATTCATTAGTTTCATGAATTATAGTTGCATCATGCCATTCTCAGAATCGAGTCGGTGCAGATGCTGATGCAGTGTGTGCCAGACAGTCTCCTGATGAATCCCATTAAACAAAGAAAATCTGGTTAGCATGATGCTTGTCCATTTTAGGAAGAACCTTTCTTCACATACTATTGTGGCCCTCATCAGTGAATGATTATATCACATGGGGCTGAAAAATTCATTTGCACCCTCAAACCACCTAGCAACGCCCACGCGTACACTCAATTATTACTCAACTAAATTACAGTACTTGAATCATACATTTGTTGTTAATATCCTCAGGAGTACTTGTTCCATTGCCAAGTTACAAACTCAAAATCCACTCATCTGTGACTTTATTGTACAGTGACCATGGCTTATAGATTGTGAAGCGGTTTGGTGCTGCGGGAATACTGTAGACCAGGGATTCAATCCCTCATTGTGAGCTTGTGTCCTTGAGCAAGGAACTTTATCTTCATAGATCCTTTCCACCTAGTAATAACATAAATGGGTACCTGGTGGGGTTGCCTGCAGTGGTGCGTGTAGGATATATATATATTTTCTGGGGGGGGTGTGGCCAAGCTGTCCGAGGGGGAGTGGACTAAGTGAGATAAGGATAATGCTCGAGCCAGGAGTGGGGAAGGGTTTGGGAGGGTGTTTTGTAAATAGGGACCTCTGGGTGGCTGAAAATGGCACTCTCAGTCTGTTCCGGCCATCTGTTGGCTTGGCTTAGGCCTGTTTTTTTTTTTGTTTTTTTTTTTTTTTTTTAACATGGGGCTGAAAAATTCATTTGCACCCTCAAACCACCTAGCAACGCCCACGCGTACACTCAATTATTACTCAACTAAATTACAGTACTTGAATCATACATTTGTTGTTAATATCCTCAGGAGTACTTGTTCCATTGCCAAGTTACAAACTCAAAATCCACTCATCTGTGACTTTATTGTACAGTGACCATGGCTTATAGATTGTGAAGCGGTTTGGTGCTGCGGGAATACTGTAGACCAGGGATTCAATTCCTCATTGTGAGCTTGTGTCCTTGAGCAAGGAACTTTATCTTCATAGATCCTTTCCACCTAGTAATAACATAAATGGGTACCTGGTGGGGTTGCCTGCAGTGGTGCGTGTAGGATATATATATATTTTCTGGGGGGGGTGTGGCCAAGCTGTCCGAGGGGGAGTGGACTAAGTGAGATAAGGATAATGCTCGAGCCAGGAGTGGGGAAGGGTTTGGGAGGGTGTTTTGTAAATAGGGACCTCTGGGTGGCTGAAAATGGCACTCTCAGTCTGTTCCGGCCATCTGTTGGCTTGGCGTAGGCCTGTGTTTTTTTTGTTTTTTTTTGTTTTTTTTGTGTTTCGACTGACCGACGAGCTCCTACTGGCACCATCACTGGTTGCCTGCTACTCCACTGATACAGCAGTAACACTTAAGAATGTGGACCCAATGCCCTGAGAAAACCGTCTAAGCGCTTTGTAACCTAAAGGAACTTTAGGCACTTTATATTTACTAAATATTAACAAATGAATAAGAAATTGGACAGTAAAAGTGTGGAGACCTTTCTGAAAAAAGCCCTAATTCTCACATTTAAAAAAAATCCTATGATTATTATTATTTTAAAAAACTGTGGTTTTTTTCTAATTGAGCATCAGTTAAATAGAACCTCATCGTTCATTTTTAAGGGATCAACACAACAGTTTCACTGTCATATATCTATTTATTATCCAGAACTTACCTTTTTTAATACATTGTCTACTGTCTGCAAATTAGGTGCAAAATAGGTGTATCATGTAATGTACTCTAGACCAAGACATACTGTACCAACAGATTTAACTTTACTGTACTACTGTAAACTAAAGTTTTGGAACATATGACTCTCTACTATGGACCTACTTTAAGCCAGCCTTCCACTAGACAAATTTAATTGTGCAAAGCAAAACCATTTGATTGTGTGTACACTGTAGTCGTCCACCTGTACACGGATAGCAAGCCTATGGGAAAGTGAACATTTATTAGTACTGTACGTATTATTGTCACTCTAAGCAATTACCGGTAACCATTTGGGAATAACTATGTATATACTGAAATTGTTATAGAATTTGTAGTAACTCGTAGGGAAGATGCTGCTTCTCTAGCAATTTATATCTTTTGTGAAATAAATCACTTTTGGTATTCACAGACCAGAGATACACAATACTGTACATACGTGCATAGGCAGATTCAAAGGGGGTGCCCCAGCCGGCTCAGGCCCCCCCCCCCTAAATTTGTCCAAATTTTTTTTTAATTAAGAAAAAAGAAAATTCGTCTAAAATTTTGAGTCTAGGAGTGCCGTTTCCGGCCATTTAGTTTTGCCATAATCATAAATTTTCTTACAGGTATAGACCCTTTACTTGTGAAAGTCCTTCTCTGGGCCCCCTCTATTTCGAATTCCTTGATCCACCACTGACGTGCAAGTAAATTGCATGCATATTAAAAGTAAAACACATTGGGCCTTACCAAAAAAACCCAGAAGCAGGTTGTCCTCAGGTCTTCAGTGGGGATGCCATATTTAACCACAATTATAATACCCACTTTTATTATTCATCATAGCTTGTATCACAAATATATCATCCGTAAATAGTATATCTCATTATTGTTACAGGAATCAATCCAGTCACATTGGTAAATCTTTAGTACTGTAAATAATAAATATTCTTTTGTTATTCCTCGTTGAAAGTAAGCATATCAGTACAGAATGCAGTGCACCTTGTCTGTAGGCTTGTCATTTTCAAACTACACAAAACATATCACAATATCGACTGATAATGCAAAGAAAGCAAGAACCAAAGTTGGCCAGTTGTGGAAAGACCTTCATCACTTCCTGCATGCTATGACAGACGAGTGAATCACCGCATCGCGTCAACTTTATTATTTGGCTTTTTCTCATCTTATGATTCATTCCAAATCTTATCACATTTTTTAAAAATGAATAGTAAATTTTGTTCTCTCCCTTGCACAGTCAACAACGGTTATGTTGCTTTCTTTGTTATTGTTGTATATAAATAAATTATATACATGCGCAAATTAATTTTTCTCAATAAAAAACAAATAATAATTTTATTAGTATTTAGTTAGGTAATTTAGTAAATAATTTCATCTGGTTTCTTATATTTATATATATATATATCTACTGTATGTAAAAGATTCTTCGTAATTAAACAAAATTTTCACTTGTGTTGAATTCTCCTGGTTGATGTAGGAGAGACATATCGTTCGCAGGGTTCTCAAGCCCCCCGAAAGTCATCGGAGTCGTATTCACCCACTCCTGCAAGCAAATAAAAATCTCCATTAAACCCCCATGTTCCAGGAAGTCATGTAAAGTACTCTATTATCGATTGTCTGACGGAAGTCAGTGCCAAAGACTTACCACGTTGTGCGGTAAAATTAAATTAAATGTGGTGTTCTTATCAGGCTATGTACAGCACTCAATTTTGCCCAGCCATAGCTGGACGCACATCTTTGCCTTATGGTTGCATAACGAAATGAATGATTTTAATGATTCTTTTACCATTTCATAGCCCTCATTTTAGTGTTTAAAAAAAAATCGCTTGTCTTTGCCACATATGTAGTGTCTAAAAGTGGTGTTCAGTAATTTTTGTTCATAAAATAATATTGCGACTGGATAATGCCTCTACAATGTAAATGAAACTTAACTAGGATTCAGAAATATTATGAATTCTTTAAAACACTAAGAAATTTTGTTTATTTTCATTGTAGAATCATCGGCACAACTCAGTTCGAAGCATCAGACGCCCGTGCTGCATTTCCTTGCTTTGACGAGCCCGCTTTCAAGGCAACATTCACACTGAAAATGGTGCGAGCCAAAGAACATCATACGTTATTCAATATGCCGCTGAATCATACCGAACCTTACGGAGACAACGTCCTGGATGTTTTTCAAACGTCTTTGAAAATGAGCACTTATTTAGTGGCATTTGTTGTATCAGAATTCAAAAACAAAACGTATATGGTTCGAGAAAATTTGGAGGTAAGTACAGTATGTCTAAATGTATATCTTTTAAAGTGTAACATATACTTTAGAGCTACTGTAGATATTAGGTTTAACATGAGCGTATGCTGGGGGTGGTGACATATCCCACCCCCCCATGGCAGCAAATTAGTGTAACATATTTCCCCCATCTAGATTCACTGATACAAGCGTGAATTTCTGCTTGATAAAATGACGGCAATGTGAAATGCATAGAAGCAGAATTTACTTTATTACTTAATTTATTTCAGGTTTTTTATTTATTTTTTTGGTATTAAATTACTAAATACCAATTTGAAATAATTCTGACCTTTATAAGAGTTAATGAGCTCCATGCCTACAGTACGTTACTTGCACGTGTCCCACGAGACGACATGTATTAACTAACAGAAGCTGTTTGAAAAAATCCTAACAAAGCAGAAAAAAGGTTTGATACATTCTACGCATATATCAAAAAAGAAGTTAAATACCTTGTATATGCTGATCAACTGAAAAAAAGCCTGAACAAATGACATCTAGAAGAAATACAAGTTTGGACACCACCAAGGCTGAGCCACAAGCTGGGTGTAAACCAACTACATTAGCACACCTAGATCAAATGGGTCATATGACATATGGCGCGAAATCCAAGCTACAACCACAAAGCTAGGCGCAAAAATCGACACAGTCATACAAAACCAAGCGTCAATACTGACTAGGCTGGGTGATGTTGAAGCAAGACTCACCATACTTGAAGCTGATAAGAAAGAAATAATAAAATCGGTTACATTTACCCAGGAACAAGGGGAACAGCATTCCCCCCCCCCTTTTTGGAAGGTTAAAAAAAGAGGGAAAAAAAGAAAGTAAAAGAAAAAATTGATCGCCTTAAACGCCTCAGAGGTTATTTTTAGGCATCTAGAACATATCATTTTGCAGGGGCATGCGCCAGGCCCCCCTAGGGTAGTATTATCTTGATCGGCCCCACCTTTTGGACATCTCTGGATCCAACCAGATAATGGAGGACTTAACATGATTTGACTTGCAGAAGAAACGGAGTGTCGGTGGTAAAAAGAAAAAGGTACTTGAAGCCAGGAAGAAACCAATATTCAAAAATTGTCAACTGTTCATAAACAGCAAGTTATACCACCAGAGCTCAGATGTCATTAATGATAGGTCTATTTAACGTAGACCTACAGTACTAAACTTATGAATATCACTGTGCCTCTCCAGCTTTTCTTAAATTATAATCATATATGTAAATCCCAAGCCTAATTCAGCATCTTAATAATGAACAGAAATGTATGTACTGCAGCAGCAAAAATGTAAACAGTGACATATTGTACCTTGTCGTGCGAGATGAGAAGACACATACTACAATGGCCACCAAAACATTGTAAATACCTACTGTACGCCAATCAGTATTTTTTTTTTTTTTTGTATTTCATTTTGATTTTTATTATTTATTGTTACTTGATTGTATTGTGTATGGATGCACCACTGAACAGGTGTGTCCCTACTGGGAGTAATTATTAAACATACCATTACTTATTGTTTGTCTATTTTGACCCTCTGTAATACTTTAGACTTTAGAAATGTTTAATACTGTAATTATTTTTTTTCCTCGCCAATCAGTATTTGTTTTTTTTTTTGTATTTCATTTTGATTTTTATTATTTATTGTTACTTGATTGTATTGTGTATGGATGCACCACTGAACAGGTGTGTCCCTACTGGGAGTAATTATTAAACATACCATTACTTATTGTTTGTCTATTTTGACCCTCTGTAATACTTTAGACTTTAGAAATGTTTAATACTGTAATTATGTTTTTTTCTCGCCAATCAGCATTTGTTTTTTTTTGTATTTCATTTTGATTTTTATTATTTATTGTTACTTGATTGTATTGTGTATGGATGCACCACTGAACAGGTGTGTGCCACTGTTCCTATAGGTTAGTATCAAGAAAAAATGAAACAGACAATTGTCAACAAAATCTGTGAATGATTAACAGTTGGTTGGTTAATATGAAGGTGTTTGCTTTAAACTGTGGCTAATATTATTGATTTTTTTGCTTTGTACAATATGTTAATTAATAGATTGTTATTCTAGTGATGTATACTAAGTTTCGGAACAATTAAAAAATTTATACCATAAAAAATGCCTAATATTTCTCGCTAAGTTTTTCTTAGAAGTTGCACTTAATACTCAATGTTTGCGGGTGAGGAGCTTTTGATTACAAATCCACATCTTAAATTCAGGTAATAAAATAACATGACTGTTTGTATGGATTTATATGTCCTGATGTTAATGTAACTTTTATAATATTTCTTGCTCTCTATTTTCTCATTGAGCTGTCAGTATAAAGTAACTATACAATATAGAAGTAAGACACAGTATACAATATAGAAATAAGACACAGTTCCTATCTTTAAGTTTATGTACTATAGACCTGTTTTATTGTTTTTGTTACAAAAATATTTCCATATTTCCTACATTTCATTTTTTCAGGAATTGTAAATATGTAACATCTAAAAATTTAAGATAATTGCTAGTGTTACCTCAAGAAATTGGACCAGAACCAAAAAGTGTGATAGTTGTAGAACAGGGGAAGCCTAGCCTCCCAGTTGGTATAGAAGAAGAGAGATTTTAAAATTTACGGTGGTAAAATTGGGCTTAGGCCATAATATTAGGAATTTGGTTTGAGAACATCAAATATAAATGGTGGACAAATATAAATCACATATTGTTCAGTCTAATTTTTCCTAAAATTATATGCCTAAAAATCTACTGTGAATGAAGTCACACTAACATTATATCTTTTATTCATAATATTGTATTGAACAATTATAATTTGTGATTTGTGAAATAGAATTATTGCCCAATATAAAAAAAAAGTGTATGCTTAATACCTTGGCATGATGCCATAAGATGAAGGTTGTTTAACTAAGTAAATTATAGTTTGGTCTGTTGTGTCATTGATGTATTATAGTTAGATTAGGAAATCAAGGCACCTGATGACTCAGTACTAATGAATGATGAACTAGTTAAAAACTGGATCTTTCATTGCCTCTGACCCTAGATAAATAGCTTTATCTAGGGTCTCAAGTCTCCCAAAAGTCTCGGGAGGCTCCTAGAAATCCGCACAGTATTTTTGCGCTCTTGCGAGCAAGCAAAAACCGTTTAAACTACTGTACTATAACGCATCTTCCTTATATTCAGAATAGAGGAAGTTTGGTTGAAGTCCTGAAGTCATCTGGCCATTGGCATAATTGCATGCAGCTAAATATGTGTTAAGAATGTCATTAAACCACATCTTCCTAAAGTGCCTTAAAGGTACACTGTCTAGAAAAAATTGGGGGACAAAAACAACCACCATAAAAAATTAATAAAAAATTTAAAATACTCATTTAAATGGATTCTTAAATTGAATTTTTTAAAATTAGTTTATGCTGATTTACAGATATTTCACTACAAAAAAATCTTCAACTGATTACCCCCAGTCAATAGGTGTCTATGCAAATAAATGCTGCAAATTATTTATCTGTTGTTGGATGGGAAAAAGCCCCTATTGATCAGCTCACTGAAAAAGTATTGTTATAAAATGTATCTGCCAGATTTTCTAGGTGCTTAAATGTCTGTTAATTGCTCAAATTTGTAACACTGACATTTTTTATGAAATAAAAATAAAAATTTAAAATATCCATCAAAAAGACAACATTAACATCAATATTTATAAGCTAATATTTAAATTAATATTTACTTTTCCATGAATATTAAATACTAATTTAAAATATTTATTGTATTATAGATAATATTTATAAAATGACAATAAAAGTTTTTGCATTGGGGTAAATAAATGTGGTAAAGTGGCTCTCAATTCCTTAAAGAAGTATTCATAATGTAGCAGGGCAAATATTCTTTGCATTGATGTCACTTTGAAACCTACATTATGTTACATATTGTGTGTAACGCCACCAGCCGAGTGTATTGAATAAAAGGGCAGACTATTTATGATGGCGGCTGTGTAGTCTCAGTTATTCTGCGTTGTAGTCTCGGTGACATATACAAAACCTTAGATATCCACTTAAGTACTCTTTGGCACAGAAAAGACCTTCTGCGCTGTGTTTTGCTATTAAGTAAACACAAATGTTGTCGGCTCAAACCACTGATCTTAAAAGTGGGAGCCCAAGCTTTACAACTATTTAACATACTTTCATTAAAGGTATCATAATTTTAGTTCATCCCACATAAAGCAATAAAAACAGGACTGAATATGCAACAAATATATACAAATACAAAAGAACAACACAGTTTATACAAAAGTATTAAAGGCCTATACACTAATGATTTCTTAATTTCATTATATTTATATATTTAATTATTTATTCTTTTTATTTAAGAGACTTAATACCTTCTTTTCTTTTAAAAATTGTTGAATATTATTTTTGGTGTAATTTAAGATCAAGTTTATAGTTCATTTGATAGTAGTCATCGCTTGATATACCATATATGTTGCAGTAATGCTGTTTAATAGTTGTGTCAACGGAATTGTAACTCATTGACATTTTCTGCATGACATTATTTTTTCAAAATTGTTGCATTGCATTGGAAATTGTAGGCACAATGCACATTTTACCGTCATATTACTTTCCTATCATAAATTGCATTACCCCTGTATGTCCATATTCTAGGATTTTACAGTATTAAACTTTAAAATTAACACTATCACACTCCAGTCTTTATACATTTAATGCTTATTTTTTTTTAGCACTCCATTGTGAGAGAATACTGTCTGTGTTTAAAAGCTAAAATCATTTCAGTATTGCTACCTTTTACTAAAATTAGAATGAAACAACATTTTTCTTGCCAATTTATGGACAGATAGATAATGCCATTCCCCTATACTTTGTATCGTTGACCTTTGAAAAATTGGCTTGTTATCAATTTAAGAGGATTTTTATAGTAACCTGTGAATCAGTGAAAACATGTTTGTTTTCTATTTAAAATGAGCAATTCAATATTATATGATGTTTATGGATTTTGGTAGACTTTACTTTAGACAGAACTGTAATAAATTGTAATAATCATGATGATTTTTGTCATATTCTGAAATTTATGATTGAATTACAGATTGGTGTCCACTCTCCTGCCCAGGAAATAGATGAAATGGATTTTTCTTTGGAAGTTCTCAATAAAACTATAACCTATTATGAAGACTATTTTGGTGTTGCATATCCTTTGCCAAAACAAGGTTTACTGATTGTATTTTTATCAGCTTGTAGCTTAAGTTGAATCTTAACATGATATCTATGTGTTCCCTGTAGACATTGGTATTGGTATTTGTCCAATGAACAACATTTTATGTTTGAACAGTGTAGTGCCATAGAACATTAAACACAAGCTTCATTAATGCACGATTCTATTAAATTGATTATGTTTGCTTCTGATCAAGTATACTACAATGTAAAAATGCTGTTTGCTGAAAATTGGCAATAATTCATAAGGTAGCCATCGGCATCATATAGTCTTTCCATCATGAAAATGTAACCTTTGAACTTAATAAAATTAACATTTTTTAAGAAAATGCTTTTAAATTGGACTAACTAATAATTATAATAATTGTGTTATTAGACAAGCATTTATAATGCACCATCGATCTAGGGAAGCCTGTTCTGAGGTCTAGTAAAAACAATCATAAGCAAGAAACAAACAAATATATAATGAACATAAATTCATAGTGCTACTTTTTGATATCAACAGGGGTGGTGCTTGGGGGTGGGGGACAGGGAGGTCATTTGCTCCCCTGTCAGACAGGCCTGAACCCCCCTGTTGTCCAACACCATGACAAGGACGTTATTATAATTTGCCTACCTAAATAACATTATTTGGATTGCCAACCCCTAATATTCTGGTCTAAAATAAAAGCACAATTTGGACCATACTAAGCTATAAAAACTCTACCTGTCAATCCTGTCAGGGAGTTTTTATTCTAGGACTCGGCCCCTTAATCGGCCACAAACTATAAAAATGCAATTACACAGTGCTTTGAAAAAATGAGTAAACATATTAGACAAGCGATTCCCTTACAGTTTATCTGTGCCTTGTCATTTATCATTATTTCTTAAGCCTGATCAAAAAGGCATGTGAGTAGAAACTTCCTTCAGGTTGCTGGTGTAAGGCTAATTGCCCAGGTGGTCTCTAAGACATTAGTAAGCAGTGGCATATACAATGGTTGAAAACAAATTTCTGATGTTTCTGCATGCATTGCAAATATTGAAAAAAAAAGCCAGCATTAACTTGTAGTATGTTAAATTTGTTTATCTTTCTTTCAAGATATGGTAGCCATTCCAGATTTTGGTGCTGGGGCGATGGAGAACTGGGGATTAATAACATACAGAAAAGTTGATATCCTGTACAACAATAAATCTACATCAGTTAGTCAGAAACAACGCATTGTTATTGTTATCACCCATGAGTTAGCTCATCAGGTTGGTGAAACTTGAGTAAATACTGGGTGGCTGATGTTATCACATCAGTCGGGAAGGTCTAGAATTTTTTTCCAAGATGGTTTCAAAGGTTTTAGCCATTTTAATCTGTTATCATAAATAATTTCACTCAAATATTGTGATATTTTGGTTGCTGCGGGGGAGTTGCAATCACCACTTTTACTGCCCCACCACTGCTTATAAAAACAGTTGTGTTGTAACAGATGAATGCAGGCCTGAGAAACAGTATAGTAACATAAATTAACCATATTGGGCAATAAGCCAATAAAAATTACTTCTAATTAAACAACCTAAACAATTTTATTCAGCTACTAATAATTTCATTTCATAAATTTTTTCCAACTTCTTCTATAAAGGATAATAAAATTTCAGATTAAAATGAAATAAAATGGGAAAAAATGAATACAGTACCAAATTATGTTTCAATTTAAATATACAATGTTGGGGGATGTGCATGCCCCTTCTGCCACTAGATGTTTCCTGGTGTGTCTAGATTTTACTAGGACATACAGTATGATAGTAGTCTGGTGACAGTCGTACATTTCTGTAGTGGTGGCATGATCAGAAGTGGTTGGCGCATCGATTGTGGCTTGGACTCCCAACCTTGAGGTCAGGGGTTCGAAACTCTCGCTGTGCAAGCTGCTTGTGTCCTTGGGCAAGGCACTTTATCTACTTTTGCCTCTCTCTACCCAGGAGTATAAATAGGTACCTGGTAGGATGTTGTGGCATTGAATGTTCATACTTTCGTGTGCTAAAGAAGTAGCGAACGACTAGGGATACTCCCCAGGAAGCAGAGGAAGTTGCACTTTGTGCTGGTTTGCCATTGTACGTTATCCAGTGATCAGGGGTAATAACGCTCGCGCCTTTGATCATTCTAGTTGCATTAAGCCAACTGTTTGATCGCTCCTCGATTTTTTGACCAATGAAGCTAAGAATTCTACCTGTTTGTATTATTGATATGTTGATTCCATGGGAAGTATTATTGATATGTTATGGGAATGTTGATGCTATAGTGATACAAGATATTTTTGCTATTGATAGTAGGAATGTTTTCATTGTGTATCGTATCCATATAATAGATTTTTTTGCTATTGCATTTTCATGATTCTACATTTATTAAGATTATATTTCATATATCTGATCATTGTGTAAATCTCTGCATTATCCTAAAGTGTCTATTGCAAATTTTCAGTAAATTTATGTGCTTGATTTTATTACGTTTACAGCTGGGGATTTATTATGTATAACAGCTGAGGCATAGAATAGTTCCGTTGTTTCTTTTGTTCTGACCATCAACTACTTTCATGGTATTTTAGAGCTAGTTTTATATCCATTTTATGAACTTATCTTTAAATCCGTAGTGACTTCTCATTTTTCATGGGTCACGTATCAAAATGGCAATGAGAATGTAAAAAACATAAGTCAAGTTGACGTAGTTTTGAAACATAATTTATTTAACACGGATATTTCGTTCACTCCTGCGTAATTGATACCGTATACATCAGAGATACTTAACTATACAAGTTGACGGAACTGAATTGGCCTATCAACACACAAGGCATGGGCGGTACTAATCTTAATTGGAAATAAGCAAATATAGTAAACAGTGTGCAGACTCTAGAGGTTAGTTTCACATCACGAACACAATCAAAGTAGATTGTGTTAGTTCGTGAAATCACAGTAGCGCGTCAAAACGAGCGCGTATTGGTTGTCAAGCACTTTTGTATTCTTTACCACACAAAAAGTCCTTAACAACAACAGCGCGTATTTTGACGCGCTTTCTTGATTTCACAAACTAACACAATCTACTTTGATTGTGTTAGTTCGTGATGTGAGTGACAAAATGTTTGAGTATATATCAGGCATGTGAAGAAAGATTCCTCAATGTGTTTTCTATGAGAGACAGGGTACAAGTGCCAAGAAGTCAAAGAAGAAAGGAGTCAGAAAGTAAAAATGAGCATTCTTCATGGAATCTCAATGGCCAATGCCCATCATGCGCATGAGAGCCCAGCCTTAGAAATCTTCCTCACTCTATGATAGGTCTTTAAATATATTGGTCATCATTCCATTTACTCTTTTGTAATTCTACAAATGTTGGATTTCAATGTCATCAATATGCTTTCTTAGAAAGATCCCATACTGAGGACATACATTAAATATTTGGCCAACTCTAGTTGCATTAAGCCAACTGTTTGATTGCTCCTGGATTTTTTGACCAATGAAGCTAAGAATTCTAAACCTGTTTGTATTATTTATATGTTGATTCCATGGGAAGTATTATTGATATGTTATGGGAATGTCGATGCTCTAATGATACAAGATATTTTTGCTATTGATAGTAGGAATGTTTTCATTGTGTATCGTGTCCACATAATAGATTTTTTTGCTATTGCATTTTCATGATTCTACATTTATTAAGATTATATTTCATATATCTGATCATTGTGTAAATCTCTCTGCATTATCCTAAAGTGTCTATTGCAAATTTTCAGTAAATTTATGTGCTTGATCTTATTACGTTTACAGCTGGGGATTTATTATGTATAACAGCTGAGGCATAGAATAGTTCCGTTGTTTCTTTTGTTCTGACCATCAACTACTTTCATGATATTTTAGAGCTAGTTTTATATCCATTTTATGAACTTATCTTTAAATTCGTAGTGACTTCTCATTTTTCATGGGTCACGTATCAAAATCTGTACTTAAGTTGTAATGATATTAGTACAGTAAATACAGGTCTCCCTCCAAGTAAAGACCATTTTTTGGAACTGGGGTTTCCATGGTTTTTAGCTGCTTTGGTTTTTAATTACAATAATAAAGATAAAAGACATTTGTTAATTTGGGACCACAGAAAAGTGGTTTTTAATTGGAGGGCAGGGGTGGATCCAGTGGTTGGGGGGGGCACACAGGGAGAACATTTCCCCCGCCCCTGTTTTGCTACTAAATTTTCAAAATTTCAACGCAAATCAATGTTATGTGCTACTCACTTACATATTCTGCAACTGCTGTGCCCCCGTTTGAAAAATTCTAGATCCGCCCCTGGAGGGGTCTTTAATTAGCAGGAGACCTGTAGTAGGATATTTTGCATAGGGTTTTAATTTTTATACTGTGTACTGTTATAATGTTTGAAGTGTATGCATGTCTTTTATTAGATTACAAAGTTGGTTTAGCTTTTATCTGACCAAGTAGAGCAGCTTAGCTCAGTGTGCTAAACTCATAATCACTTTGTGTATGCTTAACCATTGAGACCCTATCAGATCCTTGCAGGGGTGAATCTGGGTTCAAATTTAGCGGTGTCAAAATGTTTTTTAAAAAAAAACCCAAAAAGAAAAGGGGTTCTGGGAAAATGTTGATTCCTAGATGCCCGGAAATGAGCCTTTCACAACTTCTGAGGTGTCTTTTAATGACTTTTAATTTCTTCAAATTTCAAGGTTTTCCCCCTCTTGAAAATGGTCAGATAAACTTTCTCATTATTATTACAGGAAATAGGCCTATTATGTGTGCATACATAAACAAAATTAAGTAGTTGCATACATATTTTTTTTTTTCCATGAATCAATGAACCCAAAGAGAAGGGGATCTTTTGATTCCTAGATGGCGGGAAATGAGCTTTCTCGACTTCTAATTTTAATTCTAAAGATAATATTTATAGCACCTTTTACAATTGAAATTAAATCAAGGCAATTAAAAATATGTATGTACAGTATTTATGTAAAATATACTATTTTTTTTTTTACAAAAAGATGTAATATTTATTCAATAGCAACAATAAACAATCATTGACAATTTAGAATCATGGGTGTGTATAAAAGCTAATATGGCTTGTCTTAATGACACCTGAAAAAAAACATACTGTACACAGTAAAACAAAGATATAGTATACAGATCGAATTGATATTTATGATCTACTGTATTTCAATGGGATTAACATTTTGTCATGTATGTTCTATATCATAGTATTATTAAAACTAAACCAGGAAACAAGAATAAAACTCACAACAGACAGTACCACACCTCATCTTAGCTTCTATTTCATTATGTATATTTCAACTACAAAAGCGCAAGTGGAAATATTTTGCCTTTCACAATGAGAAAAGGTGATATAATGATTATGCTTGAAAAGAATAAAAAAATAATGATAATACAAGTATACATTTGAATTAAAATATACACAAAAGCATAAGTTTCTAATGCATATTCTGTTTGACAAATAAATAATTAAAAAAGTAAAATCCTTGATTTTCTTTGGGTACCTATTTTAAATTGGTGTGTAGTTATTAAATGTTTATTATTATAAATGCAATAATGCATAATTTACAGTGTATGTTAATTTTTCACTGTGTTTTAATGTAATTTCACTTTGTATATATGTGAATTTGTAAATACAATCCATTATACAAAATTCCTTATTTGTCAAAATCGAAATACATTAAAAAAATAGGAGCAAGCCAAGGAATCGTCATGAAGCCCTAAGGGTGTTGTTGAGGGGCCTAAGCGGAGCGTACACAATAAGGCCAAAATATAAGATTAATTTATTTAAAATAGATAACAAGGATGAAAAGAGTATACTAAAATAACACACTGAAACTAACCTACATCTAAGTTTGTAAGTAAAAAGAAAATATTCAATGAAATAATATAAATAAAATATAAATAGTAATATAAATGCAAAGAAGAAAAAAAAGTCCAAAACATCATTACAAGAAAATGAAGTACTGGTACTCAGCAAGCATTGTAACTGTCAATAAAAAATAACTATATTTCTTTTTAAATAACTTAATTGATTTAGCACTTTTCACAGATAAGAGTATTCAATATTATTCCATAATATAGGACCAGTGCAAGAGATGTGGAGACATGAGTACATGAAAGTGATCTCAAAGGAATCCTAAGATCATTGTTGTTTCTGGTACTATATCAATGGCAATGTCCATCAGTAGGGGTGATATATTCAGATATTTTGTTATTCAACTTGTTTACTGCATTGTACTTAAATATAAGTTTAAGTTTAAGTACACCATGATTGTGGAAAAGAGGTGAAGTGTGGGCATCAAAAGCTGACCAAGAGATTGCTCTAATAGCTTTCTTTTGAGTGCTAATAAGTTTTGACAATCTAGTAATATAATTATTGCACCAAGCAATGTTACAATGTCATTAATATATAATAAGAAAAGAAGAGGGCCTAAGATAGACCCTTGTGGGACACCACAAATGATTTTATGTCATTGAGATTTTAAACCATTAATTACAGTGTACTGCTCACTTCCATTGATATAACTTTTGAACCAGTCTAATGGTGTTCCCCTTACATTATAATCATGGAGGAATTAAAACTAATTCCTCCATGCTATAATGATCAAGTTTATTTAAAAGGATACTATGGTCTGCAGTGTCTTAAGAAAACCATATTGACAGTAACTGATGATGTTATATATTTTTTTTAAATAATAATGAGTAAAGTCTGTTTAATTAAAGAATCTTAGAAATAGGAGGTAATATAAATATAGGGCTATAATTATTTAAATCATTTTTGTCTCCTGATATGTATATTGGATAAAATTTTATTAAGCTTAGGTACTTCCCCAGTGCAGAGAGACCAGTTTATTATATATGACATATAAGAGAGGCAAAAGATGGGACAATATCACTTCTAGACTTTTACTTGTAATAATTCCATCCTCACTTTCAGAAATTGAGTATTTCATTTTAGAATCAAATTTTTGATTATTTCTTCCTCATCAGTACTGTTTTGTGATTATTTCTTCCTCATCAGTACTGTAGATAGAAGAAAACAAAATGAATTAATATAGTTTCCTTTCAAAAAATTATTAAAATTAGCATTGCTATTGCAATTATTTTTGTCATTTAGTTTGACATCAATTGTACTAAATTGGTTGTAAAAGGTATCAATGATAGTAGGTGGTTTGCACACTGGTGTCAGTATCTGGAATAACAACATTAGTTTTAGTTTTACCAAGTACCTCATTTAAAATAATCCAGGAATTTCTTAAATCGTGACGGGAGTCGTGTAAGCAGAGTTATATTTATGCTTACAAAACCTAATGATATGATTGCGCTTTCTGTATGTTCTCTTTTTATTACCATAATGGGTATTTACAATATAGTTTGAAATAGCTTATTCTTTTTATTGATAGATCATAAAATTCCTTTTGAGATCCATGGAAATATTGGTTTATACTTTTTTTGTTTTTAACATTTAATATAATAATCATTTTATCTTTTTATATGTAAATCTACTCACAATTCAGTTTGAATGCACTGCAATGAGTTTTTGATAATAAAAGCAGAATGAATGAAAATGTCTGTCTGGTATTGGGTATTGCATTTTTAGGCGTTCAATAATGAAAGACGCGTGTATATGTAATACAGAATTAAAATTTAACTCCTACTACAGTTTGGGGTCTTATTTTCATATACACTACTGTAATTACTTGCAAGCTATCCTCCATCTTTTTCCATTGTTTTATTACATATTTGTTTCTCTTTTATTTTTCTATGTATTTTCCTTATCCATAATGTGTTTTTTTTTACTCTATATTTTCAGTGGTTTGGAAACCTAGTGACAATGAAATGGTGGAATGATCTTTGGCTGAATGAAGGCTTTGCTAGTTATGTAGAGTATGTTGGTACAGACCACTGGAACCCAGAGTGGCAGATAGTTAGTACACACTACGTAATTTCTTATGTTCCATCTACACTATCAAAGTTTATTTGACAACTAATGTGATGTGCTCATATTTGGGTCTAATAATTCATCGTTATGCCTATATGTGGGCACATCACACAAATATGTCACATAAAATGTGATAACTGTATTTTGGAGCAAGGGCTAATCCAGAATTTTTCAAACAGGGGGGTTTGTATTTTTTTTCCTTATTTCCATATATAACAAAACATTGATGTAAAAATTTAGTGTCAACATTTTCTTATTTCCATATAATAACATTGATGTACACTGAAATTTAAAAATTTAGTGTCAAAATGGGGGCCATTGGATCCACGCCTGTGAACAGAGCATTAAAACTAGGTTCTTTGTCAATAAACCACCAAATTTCAACGTGCAAAATAATATTTAAACTTTTAAATTTTAAATCTTTTTAGTTGCATTTTTACAATATTTATTTTTTTTAAATTTATTTATTAGTAGTATTTACACAATATAGGATAGTTGAAGTCGGGAATTACGAGGACAGGTCTAACCTAGCCAGCCAGTATGTAGAGGCATCTGTTGCGATGTGGTAGTCTTCCAATCCAGAAAACTTCCTCCAGATGCAGTTATTCACGATGTGCTGGACTGTCTAATCTGGAAATAATTTTTTTTTAAAGTAAATAAATTTAATACATAAAAAAAATATAAGAAGTGGTTATATTAATTTTGATGCTACTGTCATATGCAAGAAGTGGCATTTTTTTGTACTGAATTGTTTTAGACGTATGTTTTTACTTTAATTTAAAATTACATTATTGTAGAAATTTTAAAATGTATTTTATGAGGCCTATTTGAATATAAAATCGCAGCATATGGCACCAACATGTTAGTTTTAGTTTTTTGTAATAATAAGGTCAGCCATATGTTTTTCAGCCATGACCCTTTTATGGTATATACCTATAATAATCCTTGGATTAGATTAAATTATGATAACAGCAAACAATATTTGTATTTATTTACATATTTAAATAATTATTTAAACATCATAACAATTGTTATGTAGGTACTATAAATCAAGATTACATTAGCACAAATGGTTGATACTGTAGCTGCTGATAGCTATGCATTCTACCAAATATCCTACCATAAATTTATATTATTTTTATAATAAGTTACCATATTATTATTTTTATGAATAGTTAAATACATTGCACCATATATTGTACCAATATACCATTGGGTATCTGTTTGATGTTTGTAATGTTTTTCTTTTTTATGATGCCAAATAAATTATTAAATAATGTGTGGTTGATTAATCATCAGTATTGTTTTTATTATGTAGATGGATCAGTTCATTTTATATGCAACTCATTCAGCGTTGGCTATTGATTGTCTCAATAGTTCACATCCAATATCAGTTAAAGTTGAGAGCCCAGATGAAATTAGTGATCTCTTTGATGCTATTTCATATAATAAGGTATACAAAACATTCACTATTATTGCAATGTATATAAATATAATTTTATCCCGTATAGAAAAAGGGGATAAGTTTAACGCCTCATCACAGACATGCTAAAAAGACGGTTTCTTCATTTAGCCATGGTGGCTAACTTATAATTTTACATTTGTTGTGGCTTGGTTCTCACGAGAGCCCTAGTATCCGGATCAGGAGCTAACCGTTAGCGCTAACTGTTAGCCCAATCGGTTAGCGCTAACCGTTAGCAGTATCCGGATACCGCTAACGGTTAGCAGGCGCTATCGGTTAGCAAGTTAAGCGCGTTTTTATCATCAACCAATCACACGTACACATTTACAATTTCCAGTTTCTTATTGGCCAGTGATTCAATCATCATATTCTTGGTATCCGTATCCTGCTAACCGTTAGCAGCCGTGTGAGAACATAGCTTGTGTGCATCGTCTTGACTCAGATTCCAGGTTTCTTTACTTCATATATAGTAGACCTGTCCGCTATTAGCCCTGCCTCTTGGATATTGTTGCTTTGAAACCGTTGCCTTGAAATCTCCAAAGATATATATATGTCTTCCTAGTAATTATATACATTTGAAGCATTTAACCATCCTATTTTACATTCACCAATAACATTTTATTTTCTCCTCCGTCTGGATGTTTTTGGCTAAACCATTTGCTAAATAAGAAAACAAAATTTTATTTATTTTTATTCCATCCTCCTCCGATAATCTTTAAAAAAATAAGTATGCGAAACAAGGAAGAAAAAAAGTCTCACTTAAGGCAACTTATTTCAATTTTTCTCAAAAAATCCCACTGCTTGTAGACCCGATGAGCATCAGCCAATTTCTATCACACCTATTTTTTATATTGTTCTTTTATGATGAGTGATGATAGTGGTATAGTTAAAAGTCCTTGGGTGAATCAATGACATATAAAGTCTGTTGAAAAATAAAACATTGTTAGCATACTGGCAATGAGAAAGTTGCCATATGGCTTTATTACTATGTTAAATATTAAGTAGCTATTATAGTAAACCTTCATAAAAATACTTTTTGTATGCAGAGTCCACTCAGAGTTTGTACCTGCACAAAGATATCATAATAATTTGTTGTTAGTCAAATATTGACTAGTTTATAAAATGGAGAATAACTGCGATGTTTATTATGCATAATGAACAGTGAATGTTGTATTGTCGTTTTTAATCTAAAAATCAGCTACTAACTATAAAATGATATACATAGATATTCATACAATATAAATAGCAAGCAAAACATAGCATATATATTTGTATATGTATATATATTATTGTATATTGTATATAGATACATATATAACATTCAAATTATGTTGTGATGCATAGCATTGTAAACACAATATAAACAAATGTTATGGCATCACGCTTTGAGAACCATATCTTTTCTTCTTTTTTTTAGGATTATGTTTTCGATTTAATGTTTTGTTGTTTGTCTTTTAGGGTGCATCGATAATTAGGATGTTAAAGGAACACCTAGGAGAAGACACTTTTCTTCGGGGTCTCAAAAATTACTTGGAGATACATGCCTATTCCAATGCTGATAGTAATGATCTATGGAATTCATTATCTAATGTAATTTTTTTTCCCGTTTTATTTAAGATATATAAAGAAGAATTGAATTAATATTTTTTTTAATCAGTAATAAATAACTTAATGGGGGACAGTGATGATGAGGTAAAACCAACCACTAAGAATGTAACCATAAAATAACCTCATCATTAATTAACACTTACAGTAACTATCCACACATACAGTAACTAACCACAACTGCACTAACCACTAAATATACTAGTAGTTTCATTACTTGATTTTGAGACAACAAAATTTTGCAGTGGACCAACGCCAGGGTCTGTTTCTTATTTAAAGCATGGGGGTGACGCAAGGGTCCAGGCCAACTTGATAAAAACTCATCCTTTGCATAACACCTTGGGTTTTACGTCCGAGGTCAATATTTTTTTTAAGGCGAGTTCTGCACGAGTAACCAGTAAGAAGCCTATGTATCTTTTGCCGTTCTCGCCCGAACACACCCTTAGTCAGATAGTGGACAGTTAATTACATTAGTGGCTAGTTATTGGACAATAATTACATTAGTAGCTATAGTTATAAGAGTTTTAACTACTAATGTAATTAACTAACCACTGTCTAAACAATAATTAACCACTTTTGACTAGTCTTCTAACCACTAATTGATTAAGTACTAATAATTAACAACTAATTAATTAACTGACAATTAGTAGCCACTAAATACCTAGCTTTTAACTAACCACTATTTTACAAATCAATAATACCTGACTACAAAATGATTAAATGATAACTAATTACCTTATTATTAATTAGCTAATTTTAATATAAACATTTAATTTCCATTATTGAAATCAGTTAATATGCTTCCTTTCAGTCAAGTGGAGTCGATGTGAAAAATATGATGGACACATGGACAATACAGAAAGGTTATCCTGTCGTCACTATGTCCCGTGTCAACAACAAAATTGAAGCCTCACAGAAGCAGTTTTTCCTGATGGAAGACTTTAAACCTACTGAAAAGTAAAGACTGGCCGGCTAAGGCAATTCTATAAAGAATGGAATGCGGCGACGTGCGCGCAACTGTTTTTAATGACGATCCGTTCAGACTGCCACCGACAACCAGCATGTGACGCCATCCGCTGATTGGCACCAATTATAAGCAGATGGCGTCGCACGGTCTAGCGCATACATTGAGCGGATTTGGATTCGTTGTGCGACGGTCGTACGATCGCTGTACGGCGCTGCGAGTGCCCAGCTTAAGACTACACCTCCTTCATATACTAAATTCAAGAAATAAAGGACTTTTACGCAAATCAATTTATTATACTGTTTTTTTGCAACTTGGTTTTATTTTGTCCTTAAAATATGAGTTGATGCTTTCCTGCTCATTACAGTCTCTTGAACATTGCCATCCAGTTCCAGCACTATCTCTGTTTTATAAATACTTTTTTGGTCACTGTTCTTTAGAGCTTTTTCTATAATTGTCCCTCTCTCTATATCTGATTCTTCTAGGTCAACCCAAACTTCTGTACATGCTCCCAAATACTTAGTTTCTAAACCCACTTTCCGTACTTTATTTCATTCTAACTCATTCATACCCAGAAGTTCTATCCTTTAGAATAAACTTCCGTCACATGTTTTTCCTATTCAACTTTTTAAACACAATATCAATCGTATCAATCTACTCTGCCTTAATTTTCCCTTGCCTAGACTATTAGTCGTAGGTTTTATCTTTTTCTTTTAAAACAAAATTGGTTTTATTGATAGCAATACATGTATTCATATATTTTCTTAATCTATTTATGAAAATACATTAAACATTATTAGATCTGTTAATTATTAAACTGATGAGGATGATGATAATAATGATAAAATTTATGATAGTTATTATTATGATAATGGTAGTGGTGATGAGGATGATAGTAATAATAATAATACTTGGGTAGTTTTTCCTCAGGGGCCATCTTCAAAATAAACGTTTTTTGGCCCTGTCATTAGATGTACCCTTCATAAGTTAAGTTTAGTACTTAAAGTTGCATGTGATGAATAGATAAAACCTAAATAATAATTATCATAGAGTAATAATGATTTGGGCAGTAGAATATTTTATTTATTCATTCATATGATTTACAGTATTACTATAAATTTGATTTGTGATAAATTTTATGTGTTTCAGGAATTTGTGGATAATACCACTTACATATGTTACCGACAAAGGCAAGAGTGCATCTGTTCTTTTTGAAAATGTTGAAAAAGGTGAGGTTATTGTCATCTTGATATTTGTAAAAATATGATACTACAAACATATTTGAAATTATGATTATTTCTTTTAGGTACTGTATTCATTCAAATAAGTGCCTTGCTTTGTGCTCAACAGTGTTAATTTCTCACAAAATGCTCCATGAAAATATCGGAAAACGCATCTCTTAAACAAATTTTTTCCAGGACCCTTTGTTGGGAACACTTTCTCAAGTTGTAAATTGATCCCCCTCAGTACTCAAGCTAGTTACAGTCCTGATTACCAATTTCTAATGCTTGATTGATTGATATTTTCTAGCTCCAAGTATCGATATTGATAGCTCAGTAAAATGGTTCAAAGGAAATGTGGAGCAGAGAGGTTTTTATCGTGTCACGTACGATGATGACAACTGGGATGCTTTGGTTAAGCAGTTGCAAGAGAATCACACTGTATTTACACCAGCTGATAGAGCAAGTCTGGTCGATGATGCACACTACTTAGCAAGGTAAGCTGCAGTAGATTAGAGCTCGCCTCTGGTTAAACTGCCACCGCCAAATGCTGGGGCCGGGGGCCCTGTGGCTTTCTGAGACTGGCCCTTTTTGGGTCTCAGTCGCTAATCATGGGTTTTTAGATGTGCTCGTTTTTTAATTATTTTTTGTCATCGTGTTTTAACGACAAAATAAATAATATGATATCAGTGGCAGATCCAGAAATTTTATTCGCAGTGGAGGGTCTATACCACTTCAGACCAACCATAGTTTGGGCTGAGGTAAGAGCATTTATGATATGGAAATGGCACTCACAGACTTGAAATTTGAATATAATTTTTTTTTTGTCTCCACTTTAATTCGTCACTGGATATTGTATATGATGTCCTTCAGTCGATGTCAGAGATACAATATGCTGTTATGTATCAACAAAGCTCTTTTGCATCAGGATACTAGAGCGAGGACCCTATGGGAGGGGCCCCTAGATGTTGGGGGCCCTGTAGACCGCCGTACAAGCGCACATAGGTGTTACGCCACTGGTGATAGTGCACTTTTTTATGCATCTCAGCCCTTCAGCTGAAATAGAATTGAACCAGGGATCAAAGGTCTTCATGGTTTAGCGTACACACAGTGGCTACCACCACTGCTCTCATTTTTGTGTTTCTTTGATTTGGTCTTTTTTAATACCTTTAATTTAGACATTTTATGCTGTTATCCTTTCTTACTGTTGTCCTTGATGATATTTTAACAATTTATGTTGCTTTTAGTTTAAATTAATAGATTAATTTGTTAAATTTTATAATTAATTGATTTATTTTGCGGTAATTTACAGAGCTGGTCTCTTGAAGTACACTACTGCACTTAATTTGAGCCATTACATCAGTAAAGAGTTAAACTATGTTCCAATCACTACAGCTCTTGGAAGATTCGACTACATTGGAAGGATGTTGCAGAAAACTAGAGATTATGTATTATACAAGGTAAATAATAGGTTACGATGGGATTAAGGTCAAATGTTTGGTGGTGGGGCTTGCTGGATTTGTGCTCACCTTATAAGCCTATGTGGCCTGATTCATGGCAAAATACAGATTTTTCCCACAACTTATACACCTCCACTTGTGGAGGGCTTAAAAAATAGTTCATAAAGTATTCTGTGTCCTTAATACTCAGTAGCTCTGCAAAAATAGATAATTGCTGTGTTTGCACTATACATCTGGTAGCTTTAAACGATGACAATACATTTTTAATTTGTTTATGGTATTAACAGAAATACATGTGGCAGTTAACAGACAACTGGATAAGTCAATTTGGCTGGGTAGAGAAAGACACAGATTCCCATCTTACTAAGTAAGCACTTGAATTTTACTTTGATTTGCTTTTTTTGTTCTCTTTTTTTCTAAATGTCCATCAACAAATATTATCATTCTTATATGTTAAAAATTTTGTGATGGGGTTGAACCAATTTCGATAAAGTTAAACTACAATTAGACCAAAATAATTTTTGTATTTCAATAATCATTATTTTTTAAACATTTGTTAATATATTATTATTTTGCTAATATTAATGTTATTTTTATATTATTATTGTATATTTATATATTATATTATCATTTCACTTTGGATAATATAGTTAGAGTTGATTTTAATCTGCTATGGTTACATTATAAGCATGCAATTGTGTCAGTATTTTAGTTTCAAAAATATTACTTGATGTGTGAGAATGATAAAGTAAACTGAAAAAAGCATCTCCATGGCGATAGAGACTGTGATGTCACATTGTGTTGTGGATTACTAGTTTTCATTTAATGTTAAATGATGATGTCATAACATAACCATCTCACCAACATGACCCCAAGAAACAATCAGTACTTAGTTTTAAATTTCAAAAAAAAATTGCATTGTACTGTGGTTGATTTTTTGTCTTAGGTTATTAAGAGTCAGTGTGCTTAGTTTTGCTGTTCAAATTGGTCATGAAGGAACAATCGCAAGGGCTTTGGAAATGTTTAGACCGTGGCGGCAAAATGGAACAGAGTAAGTATCGTGGTAAAGTTATGCAAACAAAGATCTACTTCCCATAGTGGTTAAGGTGCTTGCCTTCAAAATCCCAGGGTCCTGGGTTCAATTCTTGTAACAGCAGGACTTTTTCTCACCACAAAATCTCTACTCCCAAGCCTCATAAGAGACTTCGATGATAAAAGCATCATGTTATTTCATTTATTTAAGATGGCCCCTGAATATTAGCTGACCTTCTAAGATACACTGGAAGGGTCACCCTCTATAAATATGGTTCTAAAAAAGCATAAGGAAATCGCAGTGGAATGAAAATATGTATACCATACACTCTATAATGTACTAGCACTTGAAAAATAATTTTTAAAAATTAAATTTGTCCTAATTTCCTATTTTCAAATTGAAATTTGAAATTTTGACTGGGTATTGTTAATCCATATGTAACCACACAGTGCAGCACCAGTACTAAAATGTAACAGATACATTGGCTATGTTCTCACACGGCTGCTAACGGTTAGCAGGATCCGGATCCTGCTAACCGTTAGCTGCCGTGCATCCATACGAGAAAATCCCGATCCGGATACCAAAAATCTGATAATCGAATCACTGGCCAATAATAAACTGGAAATTGTAAACACGTACTTGTGATTGGTTGATGATAGAAACGCGCTCAACTTGCTAACTGATAGCGCTTGCTAACTGTTAGCGGTATCCAGATACTGCTAATGGTTAGCGGTAACCGATCGGGCGTTCTCACACAGGTGCTAACGGTTAGCGCTGACGGTTAGCTCCCGATCCGGATACTAGGGCTCTCGTGAGAACCGGGCTCAAGTTTCGTAACCTGCTTAACTCTCATGAGAGGGTTATTCGAGAAGTAAAGCATCCGACTCCAATAGGTGGTGCTTTGTTAACTAAATTATATATATTGCTGTCTTTATTTAGGCACTACTAATTTCTGTATGCTCATATGCAAGTATCCGGCCATTAACCAGGCTCATGGGAAAAGGGGGGGTTTCCTATTGGCCAAGTTTTACTGAGAAGTGTTTCTTTAATAAACTTATAGTAAACTACTACTACTACAGTAAACTTGTCAGAAAGGGGGTTTGGCCAATCCCCCTCCCCCCAGTTAAGGCCTGAGTATGAATATTGCATTTATACAGCACATAATGCTAGAAACTCTATGCGCTTTACATGTTCATAACATCAAAAACAAAAGTAAAAAATTTAATAACCTTTTGAATTTTCAGCTGATAGCATGCAATGTGTATGAGTTAAGTAGTGATCTTGAGTCCATCATTATTCGTTAACTTGCCTACATACATGTAGCTAACATTACAGTATACTATATCACATATCCATTTAGTTTATACATGTAAAACAATCTTAGTATATGACAGTTAACATTGTTGTGTATTTAATTCAGTTGCCATGCTGTGACATGGATAACTTTTTTGTCAGATAATGTTCATGTTCATAAACTATGAGGGCAGCATACTGAAATTGCAGATGGGAATATCACCACTTCCTGTATTAGCGTATACACATAAATAATAACAGTAATCATAAAAAATATAGTCTAGTGGAGCATACATATGCATTACTCACCTATATTTAGTTCAAATTAATCTTTTACCATCATGAAGGTCGAAGGTTGAAAGTCACTAGTTTATTCTTTCAGCATCTCATAATAGGGAGCTTTCGATTTGTGAGACGATGCGACGCAGAACGGAATCACTTATGCGTGACCGTCCTACCTGACGTCCTACGTTCTTTGCATATGCAGACTTGGCCAAATTGCGTTCCAGAATCTACTCGACGAGGTGACCTTAATGTTCTCGCATGCGCGGATGACTTTTAGTGACATCATTACATTCTACGTCCTACCGTCGTCGTGCAATCGATAGCTCCCTATTTTCTCC